AAAAAAAAAAAAAAAAAAAAAAAAAAAAAAAATAAATAAATAAAAAATAAAAACAAACACATTAAAATAAAAGGTTATGTATCTTTCCACTGTTAAATGATGTAGATTCCAAAGCACCTGAGGGTGATGGAGACAGGTGCTAAAGGACAGGTTAGAGAAAGTTCATTGTAAGAGTGTGTATTCATTCCAGATCTCCCAACGTTCTCTCTCATAATCTTTTTGGGGGTTCTAGAGACTTTGGGCAGCTTGCCAGTAACCCTATGTGATGTCCAATCAGGAAGGAGAGCAGTCACATGGTTTCCTTTTGCAGTCCATAGAAAGAATACGCATGAAGGGAAAGTCTCAGGTTATCCAGAAGTACCATATACACATAACGGTATTTTTTAAAAAATCACATGTTAAAAGCAAGACATCAGAATTCAATGTCAAGAAATTGAAAACATTTCTTTTAATCAACTTATTTATAAGTGATATTGAGCTCCTATTCCAAATTCTGTATTCTACTCAGATTTCCTTGTGGATAAAAATAATCAATCAATTACTTAGGGGCAAATCTAATAATAGTCATGCCTTCCTTAAAATAAACACAACAATAGTTAACCATTACATACTGTGTTGAGTAGTATTCAAATATACTTGCAAAGATGCCACATAACCTATCAGAATACTAATATGCTGTTATTATAAAATTTGTAGTGATGGTGGTAAACCTGACAATCATAAACCTACAGTAATTCTGATTCTTTTATGATCTGAATTTGAATAAGTTGAAACCAAATGATATAATTTATGAACTATGTTAAGTTTCTCTTTTCCATTTATATGTGGGATGGACCACATGCAGCAATATCTAATTTAGTAAATATTTCAAGCATATATCAAACCATGATGCATAAAATATAATGAAAAGGAAAAATATTAATACTTTAATTATTACTCAAGAAAGAATACATGACTAAGCTGTCACCAACTGCCTATCATAATTCTGTAAAATTTCTTCGGACCAAATAATAAAACCTCAAAAACTGTATAACTACTGAATATGTCTAGTATATAACTTGAGAACATTCATCCCTTTTTTTCAAACCTTTTCAAACTTACATTCAAGGAACTTATATCACCATAGAAAATACAGAAATGTATTATCTAATTTTGAGTACTGCTTCTGCCAATCTTTTGCCCTAAACTTCCACAGGCTCCTATGGAATAAAGCCAATGTCCTATTTCTGGTACCCTAAACCCTCCATAATTTGGACCCCCTCACTTCAGCCTTACTCCCTCTTGCTCCAGCATGAGGAAAACTTTTCTCAAGACAACGTGAATTCCTGAACCATCTCAACTTTGCACCCTTAATTTCTGAAGCTTGCCTGGA